AGCAGCAGCAGGCGGGGCAAGGTCAAGGGCAAGGGCAAGCAGCGGGACGGAGTGGGTCAGGAGGGGCAGGAATGGATGAGCCCTTCCCTGCAGACCACCCCCCGCAGCGCATGGGCATGCAACAGCATGCTCCCTTCCATGCTGCTTCCGGTCAAGGCATGGGCATGGGCATGGGCATGGGGGGAGGGTCGTCACTGCTGGCGGGAATCCCAGACTCGTCTCTGGTGCCGTCCTTCGGAGGCATGGGTGGGGCAGGGGGGGGGATGAGGGGCGTGGAGAGCATGGGAGCGATGGGGGGAGCAGGTGGGGGTGTGGGGGGCGGTGAAGGCACTGGAGGGGCAGGTGGGCGTGGTGGTGGCACTGCAGGAATGGATGAGGCAGCTATGTTTGCAGGGGAGGATGATTATGGGGATTTGCCTTGACAGTCAGGTTACGAACTTACGATGTTGCAGCTGTCAAGGCTCCTGTCCCGTACCCGCTGCTGCTTTTTGTTCAATCAAAAGAAAAGGGTGATAGTGACACCGAGGCTCGAGCTAGTCTTAAAGTGTAGGCGGACTTGAAATTATACAGTGTGATGCATATTTCGCTAAGGCTGCCTGCCGCAAAATGCTACGAACACTATCGGGTGGTAACGGGCGAAGAACGGCTGAGGCCCGATGTAATGTACTTGTACACGATAAAACCCGAGTTCCAAATTGCTTGCAGGCCACCCGATTACTAATCTTGATAACCTACCGGTCTTACCTTGCAACACTTTCTACAATTCCAGCCAAATGCCCTGCCATCAATGTCTAGGAGAAAAGGCCCCGCCCTCGCTTGGTCGAGGTAGACCATGCTTTCCGGAGCACAGCGGTGTCTAGATGGCTTCGTTTCGTGGTCATTGGCGACTTCGGGGACTTTTACATGTGTGCGACGAGTTGTCTGTCGATGAGATAATTGGTCGAGGTAGAAGAAGTGTTTCCTTCGCTCGATCAAAGTTTCCGTCTAGGAGGCGCTTGTCAACGGGAGTAAATCGGCGTCAAAGACGAGCCTTCGGATGGACGGAATTGGCAGAATTGGCGTTTCGACAGATTGCTGGTCACCATAATTAAGTTCGACGAGTACTTCGTCGAGCAAAGCGATTCTGGTCGACCAGAATAACTTGTCTCCAAAATTCGCAATGTATGCGAATTTCGACCAATCGCAAAACAACAAATTTCGACCAGTCAAAAGCGCTCGGGAATTGTACTCCCCATGAGAATTCGAATCAGTAAACTTGAGCAACTGCCAGCTCGGGTGAATTATGCACGTGATTGTCGTTTCACCAGCTGTTGCTGACTCCACGAAGGCAAGTTCTTGTCGAAAAACGTTCCTACACGGTTCATTGTCTTTGCTATTTGGTTCTCCTTGCTTGTACAATAATCTTCTTCAATCAACTTTTCCTAGAAAAACATTGCTTTAATTCTACTTAGGCAACTAAGCTCACTCCTAAGAATCACTGCCAGAACTCTGTCCGTGAGCCTCACGCTAGTAAGCTCTTCCGTAGAATAGCATTCTCCGCAATCAAGATTGCTACCATTGTCGCCTGGATAGTATACATATATGGCTGATCTCGTAGCTGTCAGTGCTGGCGAAATCCCTCCTTGTTGGCGACATGTTTGGATGCTGCCTGTGTCGTTTTGCTACCAGCATTGCAAAGATGCCTCATGCACGCTGCTCGCAACACGATGCAGCTCTGGAGCTGTCAAGAGTTGTCCTCTACGAAGACATTCCTCGTAGAGGAGAGGCTTGGCGGAGGCGGGGTAGTCGAGCTGGACTTCATTTTGAGGAGAAGCTCGGCGACCTCTAGAAGGGGCATTTTGAGAGGCGGCATAGTTGGGTGCTTGAATTTAGCACAACCATGTATAGGAAGAACCAGCACCAGCACCAGTAGCTCTCTCACCTAAGCAGCTACGAGAGTGGCTTGCGTGGCGTACCCGCCTGAGGAGTCGTGTTGCTGCAGCTAGAGGCCCTGGAGCTGGTGCTGTCGCCCCTGGAGTTGGAGGCCCCGGCGTTGGGAGTGCTGGTGTTTCTGGTTCTGGAGGTCCTCGTACCGGAGGCACTGGAGCTGGAGGCCCTGGAGCCGGGCAGGGCGTGCGCGGGGTAGCGCGACGCGGGGCAGGTAATGGGGTAACACGGTAACCGCAGGCGGTTGCTAGGTATGGTGGGCCCGAAAAAAAACGGTCCTACGGACCTAGTGCTCTGATACCATGTCAAGATAACAAGCAGGAATGAGTGCATTGAATGAAATGTGGGTACAAGTACTAACCCTAACTTTGGGTTGTACCCCATATGGGCTACCCCACAATAGCCTACACAGAACTAGGTTAGATATAGTTTGACATGGTCCGCATTGATGGTGCGGGTGGGGTCGATGTTGTGTCGGGCATGGTTGATCGTCACAAACTTCCAAAAGGACTCACACTCTGCCATGTAGCATAACACAACGCAAGATAGATGTCGCGAACGCCTTCAATTCGTTTCATCGCCACGCGATGTTCGAGGGGCTGAAGGAGTCGCCTTTCTCAGGAATGATCCCATTCTTGCGTGTCTTCTATGGGACACCTAGCGACCTGTACCTCCGAGCGGGCCCTTTCGTACAGAGTCTTGAGTCGGCACGAGGATCGCGACAGGGGGACCCGCTCGGCCCTTTTCTTTTCGCTTTCACGCAGCAGCAGGTGCTGGGGACGGTGACTAGAGAGTTCAGGGACCTACTTTTCTTGAGCTATGCAGACGATACCTACATCCTGGGACCAGCGGCTAGGATTCTGGAGGCTTTTGGGGTGCTGCGAGAGAGGTTGGAGTGGGTGGGGCTGGAAGTGCAGGCGCACAAGTGCAGGTTTTGGGAGCGTGGAGGTGGGGATATGGAGCGGGCATTGCCTTTGGGGATGCAGCGGGAGGAGGAGGGTCTTATTGTGGTGGGCGTGCCTATTGGGGAGGAGGATTGGGAGGGGGCCCGATTACGGAAGCGGCTTCGCGAGTTGCAGGCGCCATTGCCGTGGCTCCCCCTGCTCGACCACCCCCAGATGGCCTCGCATCTCCTCGCTATTGCAGTTTCAGCACGGCCGATGTACCTGGCCCGGACTATGCCGCCGCGGCCGGAGGTGGTGGAGGCCTTTAGAGAGTGGGACAGCTGTCTGGAGGATTGCTTTGAGCAGCTTTTCCCCCCTGGCACTTGGGAGCAGGATCCCGGCAGGTCTAGGCGCGCACGCATGCAGCTGCATCTCCCTGTGCGCCTCGGAGGGTTTGGGATCCGGGCGGCGGCCTCTTTGAGTCCGCTCTCCTATGTTTGTGGGTGGGCGCAGGCCGCACGGGATATTGCACATTTGGGGGTGGCGGGCGAGGAGGCGATGTTCGCAGAGTACCTCACCACTTCGGCGGGGGCGGAGCTTCTTGACCCGTGGTTTGCCAAGGCCATTGAGCAGTTGCCCGCGACTATACGCCAGGAGCTGCCGGACTTACCCCTGTGTGTGGCGGCCCCTCCTCTTCGGCTTTTCCAGGCGCGGCAGCGGCAGTTGGCTGTTGAGGAGCTCCAGGCACTCCGCCGCTTGGCTCGTGACGATGCCACCCTAGCCCGTTTCACATCCCTTCAGGGCCCGGGGGCTGGTGCATGGGTTTCGGCAGTTCCGGCTCATTCAGATCTCACATTCACTGCAGCGGAGTGGGGCATTGCTGCTGCTATACGGCTTGGTCTCCCAATCCAGCAGCTGCAAGTGGCGGGGAAGTGTGTTTGTGGCGCAGCGTATGATGACCCAGCAGACCCGCATCATGCGCTGAGATGCAAGCACCAACACGGTCCATCTCGGGTGCATGATGAGGTGAAGTTTGCGGTGGCAAAGATCGCTAAGGCGTCAGGGGGGGTGGTGACGATGGAGGATAGTGCGGTGCTGCCGGGGAAGCGGGTTGACGTAGCGGTGCGACGACCAATGGCTGGGGAGGCTCATGCTTTAGAGATTAGTGTCGCGGACCCGCTATCACTGTCTCCATCTCTGCTAGGGCAGTGCGGGCGGTCTATAGGCGTGGCGGCAAAGGAGTGGGAGCGTCGCAAAACGGGGGATTACGCGCCTCTTCTTGCACGGAACCGAGGCGTGCAGTTCACCCCTTTGATAGTGGAGACGTGGGGGTGTCTCGGCGGTCGCTTCCGGCGGTGGCTTCGACAGCAGGGGGACGCGCACGTGGGGCTAGCTGTGTCACGGGGGGCTTGTCGGGAGGATGACACTTCGTTCTCGGCTTACCTTTTGGGGTCTCTGAAGGCGCTCATCGGAGTGGCGTTACAACGGGCGCAAGCTCGTGTCATCCTGCTTCGGGCGGCGTCTTCCATGGGGGGGTTGAATGTGGACTTGGTGGATCGGGAGAGGGACGATGTCGAGGTGGAGGGCGGGCCTCTTTGGGTGGAGGCCCCCTACATGGTGGATGTGCAGATGTGACTTGGGGGGGAGGGGGGGGGGGGGGGGGGGGGCGAGGGGGAATGGGGTGCGAGATGGGACGTCTGGTAGGGGATCCTGGTTGGGTTTTTTCTTTATAGAGTATTTTTATGGGGCTTTTTATGGGTGTTGCGTTTGAGTTGTTTCTGGTGTCTTTCTTTCCCGTTCCTCTCCTCTTGTGCGATGCTTTTCTTTGTAAAGATTATGGAGAAAATTACAGTAAAAAAACCCTAGCTGGTGTGCGATGGTCGGATTCTATAGCGACTGAATGAGTTGTTAGCTGCAACAGCGCCAAATCTGATGGGTCGCAAGCTTGGTCGCCAAATCGCCTTTTGTCGAATAAAAACATGTGTGGCAAGATGGGAAATCAGAATATAAGGAGGCACTTATTAACCAGGTGATTAAAGAACACGATCTGGTGTGAATTCATGGTTTTATAACTCACCAGAAGATAGCTTCTCTCCATCCTTGGTCTTCACGTGCATGACCAGGTTCAAGTGGTCGCAAAAGCATCGAGTTCAGTGAGTTGAAGCTTTCCAGTTTTTGTCGGGATGGTGCTTATTCATCCACTTGCGGCTCCAAGCAGATGTACCAGTAAAGAGCCGCCTCCATGTCGGGGTGGTGCGAGTGGCGGCCTGCGCCGTTTAAACCCTTGCTGCAGTTAGCGGCACCCTTGAACACGCCCGAATCTACCTGCGCAGCCCAACGTTGAATGCATGCAAAGGAGGCGGAGGATTCCTGTAATGTCTTCTTCAGGGACCCGAGGTCCTTGTAGCGTTGCGCCCACTTCACTTTCTCATACACACCCCAGGGTCTCCTGATCCATTTCTCCATGCGACTGCATGGGGAAAACGGACGAGCATCAGTGGTATGAAGAGGGAAAGAGGGAAGGGGTCTAGCAGCCTCAACATACTCATCGTCGCTAATGCAAACCTCGTTGACTGCGATGTCATCCTTCCTGTTGACCTTCCCGTCCCGGGTCTTCCTTTTCTTCGCCGCTTTGCTGGTTGCAGATGTTTCATCGTTCTTCCTCTTGCCCTTCTCGACCTTGGTGAAGCGGCGACGGTGGTGCTCCTTAACCGGGCTGTCGGCGATCTTCTCCTTCCCCTTCTCGGCAGCAGTAAAGCAGCGTTGTGGCTCCTCTATCGGGTTGTCGTCGTCCGAGAGCACCACCCTGGTGCGTTTAGTGGTGCCGCTAATCCAATGACGCGGCTTCCTCTTCAGCAGAGGCACCTCGTCATCAGTGAGTCGCCAGGGGTGCTCGTCCTCCAGGGCATCTTCTCCTTTGAAGAGTATAGCATCCGCGCCAGCATCAGCAGCACCACATCCGCATCCACACGCCTTCTTGCATTCGCAGTCGCTTACGCATCAACATCCTCAGTCTTGGCCACATCCGCTTGCACTGTCGCCGTCGCCTCCGCATCGGCAGTTCCCGCCACATAAACATTCGTAGATTCCGCCACATCTTCGCTTGTGTTGTCCTCAGGGTCTCCAGTACGCCACTCTTCCACATTGTCGCCATCACCGATGGGGTGCGTTCACCTCTTGTCATCGTCGATCCCGCCAACCGGTATGTCACCGGTCGAGGCGTTGTTGTCGTGCTCGTTCTCCGGCCAATCCTTGTCGTCCTCGTCGCCTTGGCCATCTTGTACAGGTCGCGGACAAAGTAATAGCAAGGCTGTATTTGGAGCGACCATGAAATACGGCCTCCTTGGCGAGGTGGATGGTACTGTTGTTGTGACACCACAGGGTGGCACAAGGCTGTGGTGAGCCAAGGTCGGTGAGCAAATAGCTGAGCCAGCGTGCCTCTTGAGCCGTCATCGTGACTATGTACAGCTCGACTTCATAGGAGGAGAGGGCGACGGAGGAGGAGCTGGTGGAGCGCCAGTTGATGAGGCCGCTCTCTATTGAGAAGCCATATCCTTGAGAGCTGCGATGGTCGGGTTGTGAATCTGCCCAAGGTGAGTCGCTGAAGCCTTGAAGAACAGGTGGGTCCACACAACCAAGAGTGAGGCCATAGTCCTTTGTGCCTTGGAGGTAGCGCAGAACACGCATGGCCGCCTTCCAGTGCTCCTCACCATGCCTGCCAGTGCCAACAAACTGCGCGAAGACACTGACGGGGTATGCGAGGTCGGGACGAGTGCAGACCACTGCATACATCAGGACCCCAACAAGTTCTGGAGAGGGATGAGGGGAGGTGATAGGAATGGTGGGAGGGGAAATTCGATGCCCGAATGCAAGTGGTGTGGGGATGGGTTTGGATTTGGACATGCCGAACCTCTCAAGAATCTTCCCGATGTAGAATGACTGAGAGAGGGTGATAGTCTTGGCCGTGAGATCGCGGGTGATCTCCATGCCGAGGTAGTTGCAGACTTCCCCTAGTCTTTGCAGGAGAGACGTAGCTGCAGCTCATCTTAAACCTCCTGAATTTCAGCAGCTCTGTTAGCTGCTAGCAGCATGTCGTCGACGTAGACGAGGATGAAGAAGGGTGACGGGGTCAAGCGAAGGAAGAGACAGGAGGCAGCACGGGAGGGGCGAAAGCCAAGTGCGCGAAGGGTGGATGAGAGTTTGGCGTGCCATTCTCGAGGTGCTTGTTTGAGCCCGTAGACAGGGCGTAATAACTTCTAGATGGTGGCAGTGTTGTGCGGAGCGTGGAAGCCCTTGAGACATTCCAAGAAGATGAGCTTGTGGGATCGCCTTGTAAGAAGGCCGTGGTGATATCCATGGAGTGGAGGAGCATCCTGCATCTGCCAACAAAGTCCAGGAACGCGCGAATGACCGGCGGAGTGACGGTAGGTGAGCAGGTCTCGATGAAGTCTGAGCCGTAGGTTAGTGTGAAGTTTTTCGCCACATACCGAGCTTTGTAGGCAGGAGCTGCACCAAGGAGTAGTTTTACTCGGAAGAGCCACCTGCCTTTGACCACGTTGTGCTTGGAGGGGCGAGGGACGTCGAGGAAAGAGCGGTTGCAGGTGAAGGCGTTACACTCCTTGGCCATGGCCTCAATCCAGAGAGGTACGTCAAGCCAGGCAATTGCTTGTTTGTAGGTGGTGGGTTCGTAGATGGTGGGGGTGTTGGAGAAGAGAAGGATTGTAGTGCCAGCAATAGTGCGAACGATGGGGGCGATGGTGGGTGAGAGGAGATGGAGTAAAAGGAGTTCATCATGAGAGTCTTCATAGAGGTCCGGAGAGAGAGGAGGAAGAGGAGGTGGTGAACATGCAAGACAGCTGCGTTGCACTGCACCGAGGCACATGGAGGGAACGCAGCTGCACTGCTGCTCTGCTGCGCCGAGGGTCGGGGCGAGGAGACAGCTGCAATGCTGCTCTACTCAGCTGAGTTGCCGTGAGGGGCAGGGAGGCGGGAGTGCGGCTGGTGTGAGAACCTGAGGGGCTGGTGCGGGGGAGAGGGGAAGTGCTAGAATGGTGGAGGAGGGGAATGGATATGAGAGACTGGAGGGAGAGGGGATTGGACTGTAGAGCGGATGTGAGGGTAGTGACGAAGGAGGAGAGAAGGGGAGGGAAGTAGGGGCCGAGATGGTGGAGGGGGAGGGGTCGGGGGAGGAGATGGAGAGGGAGGAGGCGGTGGAGGTTGGGAGGGGAGAGGGGGTGGGGGAGGGTTCAGAGGGGGAGGGGGGGGGGGGGGGGGGGAGGGGGTGGGTGTTGATTGTGTGGGTAGTTGTGGTATTTTGTTCTAGCTGGTTGTGGGCTAAAGGTTTGCGAAAAAATGTGGTTATTAGACTTTTTGCGGGTTGGAATTGAACTCGCACCCAACAAGTACAAACAAACCTTTGCTATTCACTACAACACCTTTGGTGTTGCTACTTTGGCACTTTGGGTTGTTGAGGATTGTTGTAAGATGAAGGTTGGGATGGTAGGGTTTGTCAAGCTGGTCACTTTTCAGATCTGAACTATTGACATGTCTATTCTCTAGATCTAATCCATGGCTTCCAAGTAATTCTGCCAAGATACCTCGTCACACTTAAATCGCGATAGCAATCGACCTAGATCTTGGGTTCTTGAGATTACAGATTTAAGACCTTTCCAACGCATATGTGCTCAAGTTTTTATGTTACGTGAGCTGCACGCAACGGTTTGTCGAAGTCAGCGGACTTAATCTCTTACATCGCTCTCTAAATTCGGACGCTTTCCATCGGTGGTATCAGAGTTGGTTAGGCCAGTGATGTTCCCTCCTATTATCATGTTTTGAATTGGCTAAGGACCTTTAGATATAGAGTTGGTCATGGCCCAAAATTTGAATGGCCTTCTTGTCAAAGAGAGAACCGAAAGAATGAATGACTAGAACGAAGCAGTACAAGTAAACATACAGCAAACCCTAAAAGGGGTTGTACCCGTAATTATTAAAGGACGGAGTCTATGTAGATTAGGGGTCGAAATATCTAAAAATCGTTGGTCTATAATTCTGGTCAGAAAAGTCGACTTTATAAGAAACGTCGTCGACAAAAAGATAGCCGTTAGAAATTCACGAAAACCAAATATGATGTAGCCCTAAACCGTGGCTATCGTTCCCCAATTTGAATCACATCAAAAGAGGAAGTGTATCTCGAGTTATGATTTTCGGTGCACAGGGGGGTATGCTGGAACTGACACTGAAGTCAATCACACTTGTTTGCCCAAGAACGAGACAAGAGAATTAGAGTAGCCAGATACCAAGTAGGAGGGGATGAGAAGGACAAGAGGGAAGGTTTCAAGGAATTTCCCAACCAAGGAAACCCCATAAGCACATCAAATCTCCTCTCTAGGAACCCAACATTGACCCTTGTCATTTTTCCAACCTCTCAAATCCACCCCAACTTGGCCACACTTGCCAACCTGATTTGGCTTCTCCCAACCACTTGGCATCATCTACAGTAGAAGTGACGAATTTCCCAACCCCCAATGGTCCCTACTCTATATAGAGTCACTCAAACAACTCCCAAAGTCGCCGCAACCAATTATGAAAAGCATACGAACTTTCTCGCCCGTGCTCCAATCGCGACGATTCTTGGTTCATCGGAAAGCTCTTGAGCAGAAAAGTCGTTTCGGATATCTGCTAAAAAAAAAAAAAAAAAAAAAAAAAAAAACATTCACACATACACACACACAATACAAACCATGCCAAAGACATTTTTTTTTCACGCTTGCACACAACACATGCAGGATAAGAGAATATGATGGCAGGCAGACAGACGTGAATGCATGTCATTGCATCACACAGCAGTTCCCTCTAGTGCATAACTCCCTATAACACCTACACTAGACTAACGAACTATAACAAGTATAGTTTGACACACCCCCATAGTCTACGGTAGTAATGTGGAAAGCAGCATATATCTTAGGGTGGATCACGAAGTCACCACATAGTCCGAGAGCAAGGGTCACAAGATCAGTCTGCAAGAACAAGCAACGGTCGCAAGACCAGTTCACAAGAATAAAGCAACTCTCGGGGTGGATCTCAAGATCACCACACAATCTGAGAACAAGCAAGGGGCCACAAGGCCAGTCCATATGCGAACATATACCAGATATAGGATATGTAAGACAGCAAGGCAAGCATCTCTACGTGAGATAGGGGCCACAAGGCCAGTCCGCAAGCATAGATATAGCAAAGATAGTGAGATGCAAGAGTACAAGACAAAGCATCTCTACACAAGCAAGTGAGGTCTTATAGCCACAAGGCCTAGCTGGGTGCAAAAACGCTGGTGGCCACAAGGAGGCAACCATTTGGTGAAGATATCTGCAGTGTTGGCCTCAGAGACTAGACCTCTTACGAGTGCATGGCCACGCTGCTGCAACCCACGCAGAAGGAAGTAATGAAGCTGGATGAGCATCGCCTTCCCAACCACTGGGTTTGTCGCACAACAGGATAGCACACATGTTGTCAACGAACAAGACAAGAGGAGAGCGATGCCCCTCACCAAGGTCGGTGAGGAGGAAAGACATCCAGCGAAGCTCCTTGGCAGCCATGGCCGCAATGTACACCTCTGTCTCATAGCTGGAACTGGAGAGGGACGACGCCCGAGTCGACCTCCATAAAACGGCTCCGGTCCCAAGGCTGAAGCAGTAACCCTGTGTAGGCCGAAGCGACTCAGCGTCGTCGGCCCACGACGAGTCCGAGAAACCTATGAGTGTAACTGGCTGCTTTCCTCCAAGGACAAGTCTCATGCCTGATGTACTCTCCACATACTTTGCCACCCTCTTAGTAGCGTACCAGTGAGAAGGTCGGTATCTCCCAGGTGCAACAAAGCGCACAAGGACACTAAGAGGGTAGGCTAGGTCTGGGCGAGTTTAGGACATCAAGTACTTGAGACAACCCATCATCTCAAGATATGGATAGCTGGACTCAAATGGCTCGTCCGAAGGTGAAGCCATGAGCCCATGATCCACAGGAAGAAGGGTGAGCTGTACCTTGGAGAACAGGAAGCGAAACCGCGTAAGGATCTGCTCGACCATATGTGACTTCGTCAACGTA